TTGATCCACATGTGTACACAACAGACCTTGATTGTTGTACTTTTTGTCTAGGGATTTTGACCAACCACAGATGCCAGAAAATTTCTCAGCAGGGTCAGCAAAGAGGCAACGACCCCTGTGGCTGGCTCAGGCAGAAAAAAAATATCAATATATATTTATTACATATAAGAGTAAAGGAGAGGGTAAAAGATACAAGACAGGTAAAAAATTATAAGGAAAGATACATTTTATTAAAGGGCTGAGAAAGGATATAGTCTCTGTGAGAGATTTGCTGCTGCATGTGTGCTGATACGCATTAGTGCATATCTGCAGAACTTTAATAAAAAGATATAAAATGAAAAGGGGCTTTTAAAGGTAGAGTTGTGGCTGCTGGTTTGTTTGCCAGTTGTGCTTTTTGTTGGTCTCGCTGAGATTTGGTGGTGGAGGGGAGGAAATAATTCATATGCATTTCATTCTGGTGACCTTGGACAACTATAAATCATTGGGATAAGGTGCTGTATTTGACAACAAGGTGAGAGGCAATCCAGGAGATACGGGACGTTGGGTGATGGGTTCTCCACACCCCATGCAAGATCCATGGCAACCCCCTCCCCCGCCATTGCCCAGATTAGGGACCCCGTGATGAGATCCTTAGTCTTCAAGGTTCTGCTATACCTGCATGCCCCAACTCCCCTTGTCTCCTTTTTATGCTGCCACAGACTAACATGGCTACTTTTTTGAAAACCTATGCTCCTTAGTGAGTTTGCAAGAGCTGCTATGAAATGCAAATGTCCCAACAAGATTAGAAATGAAGAGGCCTGCTCAGTCAGTCATTAAGTTTTGAGCCAGTTATTATAGTTCATTTGAATCTACGCCTCCAAAGTATTGTAAACAGGAGCCTTGATAACCTTCAAATATGAGGGAAACAAAAGAAATTGCAACTTTCTTGGTGAGTGTAAGTGCCCAAAGTTGATGGCTAGAGGGCATATGCCTGTAGAATAGAAACTTAGTAGACTTGTATAACCTTGTGATTTCTTGTGAATCAGGTGATTTCAGGGAAACAGAAACTCTTGTAAATGCTATAAAACTTACTTACTGACTAAGAGTTTGGGTAGCGGTTTCTTTTCCAGCAGAGTTGGGCTATCACCTTTGGCTGAAATAAAACTCTTGCAAACTGATACTGTGGTTTGTTGCCTCCTTGCTCCAAAAAGACTAGTTTAAAATCCACTACACAATGAAAGAGATGGTTCAAATATAATGGAATGAATGGCATCTTACAAGTGATGTTGACATGAATGTATTAAGACCTATATTCTATGCCAAGAAAGTTCTTTTTGTAAATAAGGAATGCATTTGTATAAAGAATACATACAAAATAGTTGTGAATCAAAGGTCTGTTATTCACTCAGAAGGTTGCAAAAGTAAATAGTGCAAAGGCTTTGAGCATACTTGAAAAAAGAATATTTTTATTTTCTGAAAATAACAATGGCTCTGTATTATACATATGCTTGGAGTATAATTTGTAATAGCACTGCACCATATAAAAGTAATCCTCTGAAACACATTAGTTCTCATTCCCTGAAGGCCTTTTTGCTGATTACAAACAAACTGTCAGGAGACTTTACACTCTAGTAAATTAACTTAATTTCATAATGTAGGTATTTTTATGAGCTGCAATATGTTGTCTTGCACCAGTTCTATTGATCCAATGATATTTGGTAGCTCAGTACTCTAAAATTGTACCTGAAAATATAATAATTCTACAACTTGAATATTATAGAAAATAGGAGCAAATGCCAGAGTCTTTGACAAAATTCAATTTATTTCCCTTTGTATGAAAAGTAGAACCTTATTTCTTAATTCAAAATTCATATAAAGTTTCTAAGCTTGTAGTTTTGTATGCATTAACTCAAAATAAGTCCCACTGAATATAATGGAACTGTATTCACATTTTGGAGAGGCTGTATGCAAGGCAAATAAGGTAAAGATTTAGTTGGAACCTGTTTATCACATTTGGTCCTTTCAAAATTCAGAAGTGACCAAAGACTGAAACAATAAAATATGGCATTTCTTCTAATTGGTTAATTAATGCTATATGTACTTTGCAAAATACTTTTATCTGACACAGTATAGTCTTGTTGTTATGCACTTTCAAGTCAGCTCTGACCTTTCAAGTCAACTTTGGTGAAGGTTTTCTTGGCAAAGTTTATTCAGAAGTTTACTATTGTTTTCTCTCAGGCTGGCAGAGTACAACTTTTTCAAGGTCACCCCATAGGTTTTCATGGCTGAGTAGGGCTTAGAATCCTAGTTTTCCAGAATCTAATCATACCAGTACACTATGCTGGGTCTTTCAAAATAGTACATAGTTTCTTGTATCTGTAGGGGCCAAGGATATTTAGCACTTTTCAATTCATCCCTGTTTTGTTAGCTATGGCCACCAAAACCATGACAACACATCGGTTCAGTGGTGGCATTCAAATCCTCCTACTTCTGACCAGTACCATATTTGTTCAGATTCTCTTCCAAGGCTTCCTGTGCCCTATTCTGTTGCAGTGGCTGTGAGGAACCAGAGAAAGCATCTTGGCAACAAGACTGTGCTGAGAACACATATGCAGAATATTACCAAGGATGGGCTGAGTTATCTATGCCTTTGGACCTGACATGCACCCTATGGTCTGTGAATAGCTATCAAATCACTATAGCTGTATTGTGTAGAGATATACATTTACAATGAGCCTCTCTGGCTCTTCAGCTATGTGTTCGTGGGACCCTGGAAATTGAGGATTTGTCTCATTATTTGTTTTCCTGTTCTTTGTATTCTGAGCCAAAAACTAAAATTCTGAGGCCTATGCTGCATCTCTACAGTCCAACATGGTTTTAGAAAAGATTTTCTATCACTTGGTAATCGCTAATGCTGTGGTTAATCACAAGGCATCACTTTTTGCTCTGGCAGCACTGAAAATCCAGGCAAGATTAAATTCTGATATTACAGTAGACCTTTCTGGGATGCTTTTACCTAATTATAGGGTGGTTGTTTATATCCAAAGTGTTTCTTGCTTATATTTTTATAATATTGAATTTTATTTGGTTATCAACTATGAAAGAGCTAGTTCATATAGCGTTTTATGTAGTATTTTAAGGGTGCATCTTACCATTGATTTATATAGCATCTTAATGGTTTATATAGTATTTTAATTGTGTATTTCGTAATAATCTGGTTTTTATGTATTTATTTGTTCATTCTACGTATATGTAAAAGACCTGTGGTTTAAGCATTAAATAAACTACTACTACTACTACTACTACTACTACTGCAGTGTTGATGAACCACAACATTTACAATGAGGATATGGGCTGGCATCCTGTTGGTTAGTCCTAACCAGAGTAGACTTATTCAATCAACTGTTCCCTGGTACATCAAATTGAAAGTAAATCTTATTGATTTATTCATTGACTATTATTGATCTTATTGATTGAATTCTATGTTTTATACTGAAAGGAACAAAACCAAATATTAACACCTAGCTCCAGCAGACAAGAGTCCTTTGTCCCACCCTGGGCATTCCACACATATATAAACCCTTTTTCTTAGTTCCAACAGACCTCACTACCTCTGAGGATGCTTGCCATAGAGGCAGGTGAAACATCAGGAGAGAATGCCTCTAGAACAGTGGTTTTCAACCTGGGGTCCCTAGATGTTTTTGGCCCACAATTCCCAGAAATCCCAGCCAGTTTAGCAGCTGTTAGGATTTCTGGGAGTTGAAGGCCTAAAACATCTGGGGACCCCAGGTTGAGAACCACTGCTCTAGAACATGGCCATATAGCCCAAAAAAAAAACCCCTACAACAACCCAAATGTTAACAAGTTATATAACAAATTTAAAACGATGTGTATGGTCATTTTAGAGTGAATCAGAGCCCAAAGTCTGTATCTATACTTGGTACCTAAATGTGGCAGTATTGGCACCAAGTGGACTTTGTAATGAAGGGAGTTCATAATGTAGCTTCCACAATTTAGAAGGACCACCCAGTTTATTGGTTTCTCCAGTGGGAAACAGAGGAATTTTCCCTATCCCCTGAAAGCCCCAGTCTCTATATATGAAAAGGACAATATGTCTTGCCTTTTCATAAGAACCAAAGTCTGCTAAATGTGAGATATTTGCCTCACTAAGGTCTCACCTACACTGAACACTTAATGTGGATTGAAGGCAGCTTGAAATTGCAGTGTTTAAATGACACATGCTACAAACATGCTCAGCATATTAAAGGCTTTAAATAAGGAAAAGCAAAATTGGTGGATATACTTCAAAATAGAGTCTATAATGTGCATTATCATTATAGGATCTATTTTTGAGTATCTCCCAACACTGCATGGCAAAACTGATTATAACATGGATGTTCCAGTGATCATATGCATTGTGGTGTGTGTATGAGAAAAAAACCCACCCAATATCTCCATGGCAGAAACCCTGTGGATACTGCAGATCCTGGAGCTGGGTCGAAGCCAACCTCTCTAGTGCCTATAAGCATGACTGAGGCCTTGGCCCAGTGATCAACTAAATGAGCAAATCACTTCCTCCTCTCTTGGTTTCATCCCATCTTAAGGAGCCATTATAGATGTGCCCAAAACCTAATGGCAGAGCTGACTATTTTGATAGCAGGATCTATCAAACATTTGGCAGGCTACAAAAGATGGCTGGTAGGATTGCTGGTAGGTTTGGTAGGCCACTAAATGTAGCAGGTTGAGCATAATCTATGGTAATCTCAATATATTATTTCTCCACCCAACAACAGTGGAAATAGGAATGACAACAATTATAGGAAGAGGAAGACCGGCATCCTTTTACTAAGCAAATGCATTGGTAGCAGCAGCTTCCCTACCCCCTTCCGTTAATCACAATTTGCAAAGCACTGCTCTGCTTGCCAGAGGTGGGCTCGGCATACATAAGACAAACAGGCCCATTGTTTGAACCAATTTCCAGAAAGCGTAGTGACGGCAAGCCTTGGTCAGCCGGTGCCTACCTGATTGTTCTGCCAGTGTTCCACCAGATTGGTGTCAGCTGGGCCTGCCCTCAAGGTTGTGCTCCCCGGAGACACTACAAATGGAGGCTGCTGACACACAAAAAAGGAGCAGCCACTAAGCAGCAGGTGGCCCTGCTGAGGTAATCAGGATCACATTCAAATAGGAAGCCGTCTCAATTTCCAGCCCAGTGTCTGCCAAGGGGCCTTGAGCTGCCTTGTTAATGCTACAGGGAACACGTGGGACACATTGACTGCATTAATTGTCGCCGCTCATTCAGAGGTAGATGAATTATAATGTTACCACTCCAGGGTAAAGCAAACACCTATCATAACAATCATGTCATTAGTGTGCAGATGCCGGCTGCTCTGCTTAACCTTTTGTATCTTTTTTTTTAAAGCATGCAATAAGAATTTTTTATTGTTTCTCAGATAATTGATTTTTAAAAAAGCTGGATGTGTTGGATAGGCTCTCAAAATAAGCTGAAGCAGATTGCTCAGCAGCAAGGATGAAGCAGATTGGATTTTTTAAAAAAAGATGCAGATCTAAGTTCCTTTGGAGGTAGAGGCATTTCAAAAGTTTTTGTGTTTTTAGTTCATTTCTTTGCTCTGAGAGTACGATTAGGGATTGGGGCCAAATGTGTTTGGTTTACATTATAATTTGAAGTGGTCAGATTTGCATTTCCTACAATAATACTTTGACCAGAATGCAATTATCCTTCAGTTTTTACACTTCCCAAATACTGCAAAGGAGTCATCTGATTTTAAAATGTACACCTTAGGGAAAACAATGTACAAAAATGCCCTTATTAGTAGAAAGCATTTGCAAAAACAGATATTCTGAGCAATCGTCTGCAAAAAAGCAAACAGATTTTCACATGCAGGAAATAGATTTTTGAGCAGACTTATAACAAAACAGAAAGTAAATGTGCAAACTGATGTGGAAATGAATGGAGACAAAGGCATCCTTGTGGAAGTACTGAGTGGTTTATCTACAAGCAAGATCAATATGCCACCTATTCTCAAAATTTTGATTTTGAAGAGAAAATGAAATATTTAAAACACATCTTCTTTTATTAAAAAGGGAAGAATGTACCCATGATAATTTTGCTGCATGCTTTGTTATTCATGTTGGACAATATGACACCAGTAATATTTAGTGGCTCCCATCTCAGTGAAGCAATTATTCTATTCCTGGTTATGACTAGCTGTTAAAAAAGCTATCCAAGATGTTGGATTTATTTAAGAATACTGCCCTGCACTGTGGAGAGCTCCTTTAAATCCTAAAATATAATCTAGAATGGATGAATCACTCCACTGAGGTATGAAACACCAGGCCATCACTATATGACACCCTCATATATTTTCCCAATGCATGAGAGGGTTGCAGGACTGTTGCACTCACTGGAAACTCTGCCTCTGGAAGCTATTCCTCCAACAAGATGTAGAATGATTCTAATAAATGCTCCACTGTGATGTAACTATTCCAATGTAGAGACCAATGTTACAATGTAGACTCCAAGAATGAGACAGATGTTCAGAAATACTGAACATCTTTTGAAGGACTCAGATTTTCATCTATAAAATGAGAATGTTGACTTGCATCATCAGACAGATGTGAGAGTAAGCTTTGGAAGAAAGAGACAGAAATGTACATTTCACTGTACAATGTACTACAAACAAATTGTTTAGGACAGTGGACCTGAACATGGCCAAGGCTGCTTAAGGAGCTGGGCATGTTTAGCCTGAAGAAGAGAAGGCTGAGAGGGGATATGATAGCCATGTATAAATATGTGAGAGGAAGCCACAGGGAGGAGGGAGCAAGCTTGTTTTCTGCTTCCCTGGAGACTAGGATGCGGAACAATGGCTTCAAACTACAAGAGAGGAGATTCCATCTGAACATGAGGAAGAACTTCCTGATTGTGAGAGCCGTTCAGCAGTGGAACTCTCTGCCCCGGAGTGTGGTGGAGGCTCCTTCTTTGGAAGCTTTTAAACAGAGGCTGGATGGCCATCTGTCAGGGGTGATTTGAATGCAATATTCCTGCTTCTTGGCAGGGGGTTGGACTGGATGGCCCATGAGGTCTCTTCCAACTCTTTGATTCTATGATTCTATGTGGAGAGTTGTATAATTTAAGCGGAAACTAGGGCTGCATTTGTTCTTACACTTTAAGTCAATGTTTATCAACCTGTGAGTCCTCAGGTGTTTTGGCCTACAACTCCCAGAAATCCCAGACAGTTTACCAGCTGTTAGTATTTCTGGGAGTTGAAGGCCAAAACATCTGGGGAACAACAGGTTGAGAACCACTGCTTTAGGTGGATATAGGAGGAATGGTTGCAAGGTATTTCGATGTTCGACTGAGGTCTCATCAATATGTGAATATGCTGCACTGAATTTTTCATCCCATTAAGTTAAAATAATGCTCATGCTGATTATTGCAGTTGTTTACATGACAGCCTGTAAATAGAAGCTCAGTCCAGACAAGTAAAAAGTTGGATCAGTAAATCAGACATGTAGTTGGGTCAGTGCAAGAACAAGTTTGCAGCTAAAGGTGCTATTGACTTATCTTTGTTTCAAGAGGTGTGGACATTAAGCAACTTTAGAAAGTTGAGGTTACTGGGCCAGCTGCAACACTACTTGAAAAGAGACACTCAGCCATAAGCTTACTCTGTTCTGGTAACCTATGGATCAGGATACAGTAATAGAATGAGCTATATGAGAGTCTGTCTTTGTAGTTGTATTGCTATCCATTAATATAAAATTGAAATTGGGAGCCAGGCATGGTAATAAATTGTCTCGTTGCTTCCTGAAGTACACTGTTTCTGTTTTGTCTATGAGCTGATTTCAAAGTACTGATTTTCATGGTTAAAGCTCTTCACAGCTCAAGACAAAAGCAGATAAAAATAGCTTGCTGTGTACTCACAATCCTCAACAGAGATCCTTTTTGGGTACTTTGCCAACTGAGATGCAGCATATGGCCGAGAATCTTCTTGTGGTGGTCTCTTGACATGGAATGATTTCAGAAGAGAGGGGCCATTTGGAGTTGTGTTGATCAAATTAGGACCAAATGAAGAACTTTTAAAAATCTTTATTTTTCACCTGATATCCTTAATCACTTTTGGGCTGCTTTAAAAGTGTCTCAGCTGGTTTGACAATCTCTGCCATGCTTTGCCTATATTTTTCAAATAATATTTCGGTTCAATTTGCTTATTTTGTGATGTTGATGCCTTATTAGCTATTAATGTTTTTTTTTAAGACAAATAAATAATTATATTTATACCTAAGAAACAGTAGTAATACTTGTATTACATTTTATAAGCTGGGATTGTTTGTGCCCTTATTTAAGACCCTCAGAATTATTCGAATTTTGAATAGGCATATATAGGATTGTACAGTAAACTAATTCTAATTGAGTGTTTTAATGGGGAAAAACACCTGGAACTATGATATTTGGGGCAATCTGACCTCTAAAAAATATGGATCCATTTTCAAGCATGCATATTTGACTGACTAAAAATAAGCTGTGTTATTCACTTCATTTGATGAATACAATGATGTTTTTCTCTTAAGTTATCTGTGTTAAAGTCATATGTGAACAGATTGTTTTCTTTCCTCTACTTTTCAAAAATGTTTCATAAAATAAACCCACATAAACACAAAATCCTATATTTAAAACCCTTTTCTATGTATTTGGTAGTGAAAAATGTTTCTTCGTATCTTCTGAATAGTGTGTACTTACTCCAATAACAAATGTATGGTAGCTATGCAACTATTCCCTTGATGCCCCCCCCCCCAGATATATATATAGCATACATCTACTGCATAATATGAATAAAAGCCACAGTTCATAGTGAGGGTCCTCTAGCATAGGTTATTGGAAAGATCGTAGCTGTTAAAAGTTCATTTCTCTAAAAAATGCCAGCACTTACAAAAATAGTTTTTAACATATTGTTTATTATGCAGGCATTTGAGATAATCCTTTGAACCTTCATTTGAAACACAATGTATTCTTGAGATGGCTCCAGTTGCAATTTCCTATATAGGAATGGAAGAAACAGTTTTAATTAGAAATGTCATGGTTTTGCATTTTAATAGTTAACATGCAATAGCTTTCTTTCAGTTATGTCTATAGTATAAACTATGGCACTGTAATGATTTAAGAAACAAAACATTGCATCAGGAAGTGTTTTCTTAAACATTTCATAAATATTTTACCAATTAATTAGAAGACTAGAAGTCCAAATAGACCAAGGTTTATTTCTAATTAAAAGCTGATATCATATGTCACCTAATCCATAGCGGTATATGCACTTAATTGAATATAATTAGATATTTGTTTCTATGGTTTTGCAGAAGCAAAACATTACATTGACTTTCCTTCTTACTCATTAGAAAGTTTTTTTCTAATGTAAGTTTCGAGCAATTTTTTTTTGTGGGAGACCACATACAAATACTTGCTGTGAATAGTAAATACATATCTGCCTATTTCTGCTCATGTCAAAGTGTGTTTTCCATTTCTCATCTATCAAGCAGTTCAAGGTTGCTCCTCCCATTATTTTTCCATTCAATGTTGGGTTGCCAAACTAGGGCATTAGCAATTCCATACACACACACACACACGGATGCTTAAAATTTACTTCTTGGTCGAGAAAGGGTCAAGTGTCATATTCTTTTTTCAGATGCTCAGCACATGTGGAAGCCCAGCAGATGAAAGGCCTAAATGTCTGGATCCCAAACACTTGGTTACAGTTGGCCATTAATGAAATGGTTCAACTATTTCCAGTGCACAGAAAGATGCAATAGGAAGGACTGCGGTGGAATATTTTTGTGGTATGCTGTCTCTGCTAGGCGTTAGTCTTGAACAGATGCAAATTCTGATTCTTTTAAGAGTGTCTGTGTGTGTTGCTATTGTGGAGTTTTACTGAAATTCAAAATATACATATTATGTATGCCAAAAGTTCTTCATTTTATGAACACTTCTACAAGAAACTTGTTTATGCATTGACTGAATTTAACATAAATGATTATATTACAGGATGTTGTTTTAGTTTCTGAAATGTTAGGTGATTCTCTGTGATATAG